TGATTTAAATATACAGTATATATTAATTATAAATATAAATTTACAATATAATCTATCGCTAAACTCTTACTTTGAGGAGTATTTCTGGCAAAATGTTCTTCTTTGAAAACCCACGATTCAGCTTTTCCTATTTTACGCTTTTTGACAGCGGGAGTTTGTTCAGGACTTACACTTTCTGGCTCCATGATAGATAGTTGTAATTGCTTAAATGAAATGATCCAGTAAGACTACAAATATATTGTTTTTTTAATGTATAATTTCATACTTTTATTTAGAAAAAAAAAAAAGGGGCAACGGTCTTTTAAATTAACTTTAAAATACATCATTTTCTACATGTTTATTTCTACATTGGAAAAATTACAAACTTTAAACGATAAAAAAAAAAAGAATTCACAAAAGATTTATTTTTCATCACAGAGAACCATTTACTCGAATTATAAAGATTGAAAAAAAGTTAAGTTACATTTATTTTGTACGTACGTACATATAACAATAAGGAGTATGTAGAAATATGTACAAATACATACGTACACACTAGAGTTGCAGATGAAACCAATCTTCAAGGTGAAACTGGTGAAATGATACGCATTAAAATAAAAAATTTTCATCAAAGTAATTATGATCACGCTGTCCAATCATGTTCAAGATTTTGCACAGTAAAACTAAGCTACGTACTAATGCTAATCTTCAATCAGTACAGTGAAATTAATTGGTTTCATCTGCATGTACGTATATACGTACGTATATAATTTGGAGTTTAAAGTAACATGTGATAAGCCTGTAGCCAATAATAACTGCAGATTTTTAACGGGCCTTGCCGGCCTATTTACAGTATAATACCCGGGCCCGGTCTGGTATACCCATACCCGGCCTGGTATTTTATAAACCCAGCCTGTACCCAGCCCAATTAATTATTGAGCCTAAAAATTTGAGCCCAGACCCAGCCCAAACCCAACCCAACCCGCAAATTGCCAGGTTTGGCCCGGCCCATTGCACACCATAGTTACAACCAGCCCATCATTTCTTACCTAACCAAGGTGTAACTCACTATTCATATGCTATATTTTGTGACACCTATAGATTTCACACCCTATCTAGGACTACTTTATCTTCAAGGTAAACCTAACAGAGCGGTACATGTCTCACACATGTATTCACCTGCATGTTCAGTAACTTCTTCCTAATCTAGTACCTGTTGTATTGCCGTCCCCGAGTTCATATCTCAAGCTATCTTTTAGGATACTGCTGTAACCCGATCCATATCTCAAACTACAACCTTCCTATTTTAGTAGTTGTTACGTACTCCTGCCCTTGTATTTGGGTTCGCACAATCTCAGCACCCACATTCGAACTTTCTTTCTTTCCCAGATTCTTTATCGGTCTCTCCCTTACTTCCAGCCAGCAACCCGGAAGGGTCAGTTCATCTGAACTTTAAGTGTCTATATGGTCTTCCTTCCCTTGGTACATGCTTTTAGAGCACATGTCCTTTTTCTCCAGTTTTGGCAGCCTGGCGGTTCAACTAGTATGTCCCTCTACTTAAGGACCTGGTCGCTTGGTTCTCCGATCTCAGTTCCCAGTTCCAAATTCGGTCCTCCTGTAGTACTGTTAAAGATCATGCTACCTCCCAACTCAGGACTTGCCAAACGGGTTTTTGGTTCTTCCAGTATCTCGAATTTATTGCGCCAAGGCTCCCATTCAAGATAGTGTAACCAAGATTACAGATTTCTAGATCCTACCGATCGTTGAATAGCCGTTAACCGTATCACAGGGCTATTTTTTGAAAATGTTATCCGTGGGATTCGAACTCTAGACCTGCTGTCTGGGGGTGCGACAACTCCACCACTTCACTAAGTTACTACATCCTTATAATAATTTAGATCTATAAAATATAATACAAGTATTTATTTATTATTTATTTAGTAAAAAGTTAAAGTTGACTTATAAGCAAAAAGTATATATTTTTTAAGTAAAATTTTTAAAAAAATTTTATTCTTTGATAAATTTAAAAATTTACTAAGTCAAAACTACTATATTCTTAAACCAATTTTGTAAAGCTATTAAAGAATAACAACTTTTATTATTAAATCTTTAGTGATTTACTTGTGAAAATTAAGACTTGTATTAGAAGAATTTATAAAATTTTAGGAAAATTTTTATAGTAAAATTTTGGAAATTAGAATTTAAAGCTATTTATTTTAAAAATTTATAATAAAATTTCATAATTAAGTTGATAAAGCATATCTTAAACAATATTTTTTGTATAGAAAGTGTATTTTTATAATTAAAATTGAAAGATTTATAATTAAATTTTTAAAAAGTTTCAGAACATAGCCAAATTTGTCTGTGTTATAAATTAAGGGATACTAATTGCAACTTTTAATACATCTTGATTATTAAGTTTAACTTTATTATTAAGAACTCATTTTAGACAAATTACCAGAGTTGAATATCTCTTAAACAGAGGCACTGGTTTCTTTCTTGTACTATAGCATTGTGTTGATAAAATTTTAGATAGCATATCTACAAAAAATTTTTTTTCTTGTAAATTTTTATCAAGAATAAAACAGCATTGTAGTTAGAGTTAGGATCAAAGTAACTTAATATCTAATAATAAAATTTCACAAGAAGTATTTTTAATTAGGCTGCAGTAAATAGTTTCTTAATTAAAATTTAGTTATTTCTGGTTTCTTGTAAAAAAGTGCCTTCACTTCGATTGTTTATGTTATATCTAATCTTGAAATTTGATTGGTCAAAAATCACATTTCCAGAAAATTTTTGTGTGTGCACTAAGAGGATTGTTTTAAACAATTGTAAACTTTTGATGACAATCCAAATATTGCAAGTGGTACTTGAAAATACTTCTAAAATGTCTTAATATTAGCATTTAAAACATTTTTTACAACATTCTTGGAATTTTTTTTAATATCTTTATTTAGCTTAGTTCTAATCCTTTTAAGAAATCCATCTCTCATATCATTACAATCTACACATTACTCTGGTTATACCGACATCTGGATATAACGACATCATAGTAAAATCTGTCTATACCGACAATTTTTTTAAAAAATTTAATATAAAATGTCGGTATAACTCACTGTATCGACATATTGAATTTTTTTACTAATGACTCAAAAATGTCGATATAACCAGAGTGACGTGTATACTATAATCTTACAAAGCTTTTTCAAGTTTACATTTGCGACTACCTGCTATTTTTGTTTCAGATAAATCTTCAGAAAACTTTTTTGATAACTACAATTGCATATACAACAATAAAAATAGTATATACAGAAGTTTTTCGATATCTACACTTGATGGTAATAAAAAAACTGTTGCAGATTGTGGATAACCCCCACTTTTTATATCTTTGGTCAAATTTTTGACTTGGATTAGTATATACAAAATTTGATCCTCACTAGATTCTTTATTAAGAAAGCCTATATATATAGGTATAATAATATCTACTCCTTCCTGATTTCGTTTATATGAAACCGCAAGAGATCTTTCCTATTTGGTGTATACGTAATACTGATAAAGTGTGTAAACTTAATATACGCTTGGCTAAATTTTGTTCCCATAAATAATCCCTGCTCTTGATGGCAAGATGATATTTTTTCGTACACATTATCCCCTAGCAATGATTTTAAAAAATCACTTAAAGTCATAAAACAAGAATAATGAATTCTAGTAGAAGGTACATCCAATTTCTTGTAAATGTCATCCCATGCTTTAAGTAATAATAATCTAGCAACAAGCTCTTCATGATGGATCCGTATTATTTCACCGACAATCACTTCATAGACATCACACTTTACCGACAATTATTCATCGACAAGTTCATTTTATCGACTGTCTATTTCACCGAAGCTCATTTCTCCGACAAGTTTTTTTTTATAAATTACACTAACTTTAGCACTAATTCTACCTGACACTAATGATATTGACCAGAATTACTTAGTCTGTAAAATAAGTTTCGGTGAAATAGACTGTCGGTAAAATGAACTAGTCGATGAATAATTGTCGGTGAAATGTGGTGTCTATGAAGTGATTGTCGGTCATTTGATTGGATCCCCTTCAGGATATCCACCTTCTACTACACTGTTTTGAAGCGATGAGATTAGTAATAATAATATCCTGATCCGTTGGGAATTAGCGGAGACGAAGTTTCCGCCAATTCACATACGGTCAGGGTATTAGTGCATTAATAATTTCTATAAGATTAATGTCTGGATCGTTTATTATTTGAGCAGACACTTCTGCTAGTACATGTTTAGTAGACATCGATGTAATAATGTTTTTACGATCATTTGATATATTAATGCAATAATGCATAAACAGGTCCTAAGATAGCCAATGCTTTTATGATGCTGATAACAGGAGAGAACGTACCCAATTCAAAGTGAATCCCACATATAGTGTAATTAATTAAAATTGAAATTATTTATATTAGTTTTAATTGATCACACCATGTATGGGATTCACTTTGGATCGGGTACGTTCCCTCCTGTTGATGCTGATATGATTTTTATATTCCTTTTTCTAATAAGTATAAGTTGTTCCACCAACAAGCTTATCCATGTAATACTATATGATTCGAATCCTTTAATATTATCAAGAAAAGGTGACATTAGTGAACTCCATAAGGGCCTTCCATACATAAAGAAATATTGTGGATATTCAAAATCTTTCATTATTGATACTTTTTTCAAATCAGCATTTATGTCTATGGTATATATCAAGTAAAACAGTTTAAATAATTGAAATATTTTGCTAGAAACTTTTTGTGACCGATCACGTTTGGAGGCAGGTGAGAAGTTCGAAATATTTGAAGCTGTATCTGTAAATACAGCAAAAATTCCTGCATCATTAGATAAAAGTTGTAAAACATAGCGAAGATAATAGAACAGACTTTCTTTTTCAAATTAATCCTTCTTTTCAATCAGAATATGGGCCTCATTAAACACGAATAGATATCTAACTGCATTGTCTCCTGTCAATATATTTTCCATTTTCACATATTTCTTAACTACATCAACTTTCTCATCATCCTTAGGCTTGTTCATCAGTATTTTTTTAATATCATTCACTCGGCATTCAACATCCTTCCAGAAAACCTCTTGCAAATCTTCATTGAACCATTCCTTACAAATTCTTTGAATTTCTGTAATTTTTGAGCACATGCGCAAAAATAAGCAAGGTAGGTGGATAAAACATCATTTTCATCTCTAAACTGAGATAATAGTGCACTGACAATATATGATCTTGGTGGATAGCCAACACCTGTGTTATTACACACCAATACAGTATAAATAATGAGCATTTAAATAATATACTGATGAATATTTATAAGTACTACTAGTTTCATATTAGAATTCTCAGCTTCAGCAGTCACAACCAGTGTTGGAAATCATATGTTCACGGTGTTCACAAAAGCATAAATTTTTTTAAAAAATCAAAAATATGTTCACATTTGTGAAGTAACTTTTATCTAATTAATAAAATTTTATTTGTGATCATTATTTTTTATAACATGAACATAATAAAAAACAATGTATGTTCACAAAAATCTTCATACTGTTTTTTTGAATTTACAACACTGGTCACAATTATGGATTGCACTATAAAAAACTTCAAGATATTTTTTTTTACTACAGAAAAGTGGTGGCACGTTTTGTCACGTCATACAGAATAGCACGTATTAAATGATATGTATGTATATACACATGTTTCAAGAGCGAATATTCAGTATGTGTTTTTTTTTTTTTTAAAAAAAAAAAAAACAATATCTCAAAATTTCACCGATAAAATTGCTCAGGGTATCTTAACGAAAAAATTCCTTGCAGAGTGCAAATTATTTTAATTTCAACACGTATTATATTGATGATTATTGATGTAAATTTATGCTTTAGTATGTATATTTGTCATTATAGTGGTACGTAAATTACGTACGTCCGCGCCAAAACCATGCCAATTGGACTAATAAGTGTTGTAAACCCTAGTTATTAACGGTCCAGTCGGCACTGGTATACGGTTCAACATGAGCCAAAAGTCCGTGCTAAATTCGAGCATCTTGCGTACGAAATCCCGTGTCACTGAAACCCGTGACATTCCACACCAACCCATACAATTACAGTACATTTTTCTTATAGAATAGTAGATGGATGGTCGGTTCGTTATAAAGAGAACACTGATCACTACTGTATATCAAGATCACAAGGTATTTATTTATTTATTAAAATTTCTTAACAAATATTTCATAAAAATTTAATTAATGGAAGCCAACCCAATCGAATTCAAAATATTGTTCATCTTGTCGAATAATACTTAAAACAAATTAATGAATTTGAAATAATAAAAAAAAAACATGTATTGAATGTTTAGCCCGTATAAATAAAGCAAGAAATGAAAACTTCAAAAGCAGAATATGGATAATGTTCATGAAATGTAAGAGAATGCCATAGAATCTGAAGACCTCAAAAGACATAATCTGCGAAAACTTATGGATAATACTGAAGAAAGCGCACGGATAGATCTTAATGTAATTATAAGTCTTTCAGATCGAATTAACAAATTAGAAAACAACATCGATGAACCACATACAAACTTAATAGCAATTGAAAATAAAGCTCTGCGAGAAAGTTAATGGATACTCTTATGTTTATCACATTTTAATAACGTATATATTAATTTAAGTACTGTACAACGAAATTTGTATTATCCATTAACTGAAGAAGCTGAAAAACTGAGAGAAAATTCGCATATATCACTTGATAATGTACAACTTTATATACTGTAACAATTAATTAAAGTTCTTGATAGTGATAATAATGCAGAAAACAATGAAACAAATAAAGATGAAACTGATTGAAAATTACTGATCAGTGTAAAAAAATTCTTCAAAAATGGTAGACAACATAATAAATTGGCCCAAGCAAAGCTTTCCAAAAACCTGGTATAAACAAAACAAAAATGCTTTTATTGGTAATGAATTCGAAATTCATAAATATTTATGTTATAGTATGTAAGATAATAAAATACACAGAGTAATTTCGAATGAACATAGCTTTTCATTTTCGTGCAATAAAAATTTTATAGTTATAATTAAAATAATCAAAAAAAAAAAGAATTAGGGATCGTAAAAAGACTTTTATGACATTATTAATAAATATGAGAATTCCCAGATTGATGGCTTACATATTGATAATATTCCAAACTACACATACTGAGATCAAATAATATTAAATCGTAAAAAATTAATAAAATCTGGACAACATGGATGCATTATTATAATAATGATAATAAGATCTATCAATTGGTCGGGTAATTCTTATAAACACATGTGAGGAATCGTGATTATTATAGTTTGTTTCGCGATACTTCAGTTCACATTGCCCACATATATCAAAGTTTTGACAATGTCCACACTGTAAAAAAAATTGTTTATATGAAGAAAATTGATGATAAATAGTGCTTAGAAGGCATTATTATGCTAATGTTATAAGCTAGACATACCTGATATCTAATGCCACAAATTGGAAGTTTTCCACAAATATCGCAAGTAACTTCGGTATGCACGCCTACAAAAGAGCCAAAATTAGCATAAAATAAAAAAAAAACAAACCAAAACAATAAGCTTAAATAAGAAATATTAATTACAAGTTTCCGTCAGTGCAAAAGGGAATCTTGGAAGTAATATAATTCGTGGGTCAATATTAACAGGATATTTGATTTTGAGGAATGTGTGATCTGGATTATGATTCGAACCAATACATGTATCACATAAATCGAAGTTGGCACAATTACCGCACTATTTGTTGAGGAGTGAGTTTTAATGAGAAAAAGATAACTGATTTCTCTAGTGCACAGGAAGATATATGAATATTACCTTATAACGGTATCCTTTTATTTGAAGTCCACATGAATCACAATTAACATCATGCCAAGTATTATCTGTAGAGATAAAACCAATTTTGACTAAAATAAATATAATCAATAACTCACTTAACTTTAAACATTACTTACATTCACTATTATGTTTGTTACTACTAGCGGCTTGGCTTAACTTTTTATTTTCATGAAGTAAATTTGCAATTTGCTCACGTAATGAGCTTATTGTACTTGACTTACTATTACACTCCTTTCGTAAACCTGAATTCTCGCTTTTCAAAGTCTCGATTTCTAGTTTAGCATTTGAATTGGCAGTTTGTAACTGAGTGATCTGAGATTTTAGAATGGCGGTTTCTTTATTCTATTAATCAATAATAAAATTTCGGATTTTTTTCATTGATTGTTTTATTATAATTACAGTATAATTTACCTCTGGTTTAACTTCTCTGCAATTATATGCCTTTACCTTATATTAATTTAAAATTTGTTAAAGTGTATGTATTGATTTCATTTAAATTTTTGAATTCTTACCTCTTGACGAACATCACTACAATTCATCTTTTATTGATCGTTAAATAAAAAACCATGTATACTGGTGTGTTTATCTTTTTTTTTTATTTCCATTTATGGTCATTCATAAATCAATTGGTTCACTAAATAAAATCACGTGGCTAAATAAGAATGATATACTTGTATACCGTAGTTAAAACCAGTGATATGGCGGAAAAATTTGGCTGTTTCGTGAATAATCCAACAACGAACTTCGTCAATATAAATATTTGCGTTAATAAAATAGGAATAATATATCTAAAGTTTTGTGCCGAAAAACTTTTACTGAATATTTTTACAATTTGTATGTCACACATTGATTTTTAAAACTAATGATAAAACTAGTAATAATGGTTAAAAATACTGATTAAAATTAAATTATTATCAAGTTAGAGATTTAACTGCTTAAAAATAGAATTAACTTCAAAATAAATTTCAAAGATTCTTTACCTATTTCAATATCTTATCAGTAGCAACGAATGATGATGGAAGTCGTGAGTTTTTGAAAATCAAAAAATCGAATAAAGTAAAAATACCTCAATAGTCAGAATTTCTTTAATTAAATCTGGTTCGTTTTGTTATAAATGCGAAGGGCACGTGCATTTCAAATTTTTTACATTGTATGATATAAATTCTCAGATACTATACCTGGATCTACTAAAAGGTTTTAAAATTAACATAATGTAACAGATTTAGGTCTTATATACAGCGATAAATAATGATTATAATAGCTCTTTATTGTTAGTATTAAATACCAGTCATTCTAACAGCTTTCTAGAGTTAGCATTAAGTGTTTGGATTAGGATAGTTGTATTATATTAAGAAATTTCACGATGAGTTTTATAGACAAAATTTTTAATCATTGCCACGTTATCTAAAACTCATGACTGCGACACTCCATATGCGCATAATTTGATAAATATTTAATTGTCCGAAGGACACTACAGATGGAGCAATAGTACACCCGATGTCCGTGTGTTAGCAAATTTTGGATCTTGACTGGTTGTTTATAATGTAAATCAGTATGGATGGTATGATAACTAGATTCGTGTGGTATAGGGGTGTAAAATACCCTATTTCAAAATCTGTACCATCCTGATCCAGTACTGTATGTTGTTAGGGTTGGCGTAATTATAGCAGATTAGTATGTATTGTTTTTAAAATAGGTATTTTACAACTCTATACCATACAATTCAGGCCATCCATCCCATACTGATCTTTTGTAATCTCTTCATATTACCATTAGAGTTCTATATATCTGTATATGGGACCTAGCAATCATGCCAATCAACCGCGAGATTTTTGATTAACACAACCTTGAATCAGGAAATTTTAATTGTAATCACTTATCACTAATCGTCTACGACAGTCACAATTGGAATTAACCCAAGTTAGTTACAGAGCTTGAAAGAAATGATCGATATTCTAAATTTTCAATAAACATCAAAATCAATAAATCAAATGTTTCCAGGGCATGCAAAAATTATATTTTATTTTATATAAAAAAATTGGTTGGAAATTTAAAGAAATTATATAAATTTGCAGGAATTACAAAAGATCTGTATGATATGGATGGCCAGAATTGTATTATGTAAGGGTGTAAAGTACCTATTTAAAAACCATATCATATCATAATATAACACAGGATCAATATAGTACGGATTTTAAAATAGGTGCATTTGACACCTCCATACCGTATGGATCTGGTCATCCAAACCATACTTATCAGCGTAATTTAGTTTGTTTCAACCAAACTAATCACAGACTTAAGTCTTATTCCGAGAACATCTGATTACTTTTAAATGATTCCAAAAAACATTCATGGACTCCGTTGACAATTTATTTTTAATGGATTATCCATCACTTTATAGCTTCGGAGGCTTTGCCAAGTTTTGTGATTTTATTCCGTTCCGGAAACGGAGTTTCGGATGATTAACAAAATTTGAGGTGGGCGGATTAAAGTTGTTGTATAATTTAACTAATTTTAAATATTCAAAGTTTTGAATTGCAAGAATATGAATTAACGGTTTCTAATCATGGAGGTATTATAAAAAAATGGATGGAGAATGATTAGTGATACAGTTGTAGTTAATCTCAAATAATTAACCTTCATTCGATTCAATCACTAGGTTACAAGATATGATCAAATATATGGAACCTTTGCAGTAGAAAAAGCCCAAGATGATCGAGTTTATTTAGTTTGGGCTGATGAGTTAATGTAATCAAAATTTTCATGTTTTGATTGGTCAATGATATCGATAATCTCTGTGTACGAGTCTAAATTTCCGGTTATGTAGTCCGTCCCGACATCTACTTAAATAGCCATTAACACATAATACAATATCTTATGTGGATAAGATCTTTTAAAGATATTCGCCTGTTTTAGAAATACAAAATAACTGATTTGCATTGAATTAGAAGAGCTCATTAAACAAATAAGTAGCTGCGCGACATTGTCGCGCTAAACCAGGAACGTGTAATGTAAGTTTAATTTTAAAATGTTGGACAACTCTAATACAGAATAGTTATACAGTATAGTTATACGTATTTAGTTTTGAATTCAGATAAATAAATATCGGATATACTACTAAATATAGCATAACTATATTGATATGAAACGCTATAATTTAAACAAACAAGAAATTTCATACGATTTAATATGTACTGTATATACCTTATGCCACTGCTTACAGTACCCGGGGTCTTATTCAAGAATTCCATTTTTAAAATTGAATAGTACCCATGGGTACTGTGTGAAGAACCGGGTACTATATCTGGGGATATAACATATTAAAAATAGTAAATCATTATAGTTATACCCCGGGTCTTATTCAAGAAACAGGTTGGTAGTGATGGTGAATAATACCCGGGTCTTAATCATGGGGGTATTATTTTTGGGGGATACTGTAAGCAGTGGCATACGGTAGTATAGAGTGTAAAAATACCTCTTTAAAAACATATTATAACAATTCACTACAATTTTCTAATACATACTAACCCTAATAATACAGTCAAACCTCTTTATATCCTCCCTATTATATCCCCTCTTAATAAAACCTTAATTATATCCCATGTTTTATATATTTAGTTATATCCCACCTTGGTTATATCCCTTTAAAAATTAAAAAACATATAAAAAAATAGGGGGGATATAAAAGAGGCTTGACTATATATAACGCCAGAACAGATATTTAAAAATAGGGGTATTTCATACCCTCTACCAGTGTTGTTACTTGGACCAGACCAGACATGTCCGGCAGACAGTTATATTGTTCGAAAGTTTAATTATAGCTATTTTCGAAACACTTGGCTAAATAATTTTTCAGCTGATTTGATTAAGTTTGTGATTCAGTATAATAGATATACAGAACATGCAAACTTAATTGAATCAGCTAAAAAATCATTGCCAATTTTTATCTGGTGTTCTAGGAATTATGAAGATAGCTAAACATATAGGCGGAAATCTTCAATTTTTTGTGATTAGATAAATTGCAGAATTGAATAATGATTTAGTTATTTGAATTTTAATAATCACAATATTATATTAAAATTTTTTGCCCATATAAAATTATAGAATATGAGAATTATCACACAGATCAAAATAAGTAACTTATTTTTTTTTTTAATCAGTTTTTTGGTTTTTTTTTTAGCATTTTACTAATCTAGTTCTTTTTTTTTTATAGCATCAAATTCTCTTAACTTTGTTTCTTGGTGCCCTTCTTTTGCTGGTATTGTCATTAGAGTTATCACTAGAGTTATTGTTCATTAGTGTCATTATTTTGGTTAATTGTGGCATTAGTATTTTGTGTTTGTGAAGCTTAATACTTATTTGAGTTGGTTTTATATATTATTTTAACAGATACATATAGTTACATATAGTTCTACTCTATATACAACCTATAAACAAGATATAAATATTAACAAAAGCAGACAATAGCAATACCAATTAACTATCTATAAAATAGCAGCACCAAAGATAACACCTGTAAGATAAAATAACAATATTAAAAACAGATCTTCTTTAGTATAGCTGAGCAATATAGGAATATTATAAGATTACAATATAAAAAAAACTTTAACTCTAACCCTAATCTAACTCTAATTTAAACTATAACCCTCACTCTAACCCTAACTATTTATAAATATGTTTAAATTAGTTTAAATAGTTATTTTTATATATTATAATTTTATAATAATTCTATATTGCCCAGCTATACTAAAGATC